CGTATAACGGCCAGAAGAATAACTGCGAATCAGTCTTCGATCTGATCTTAACCGTACGTATTATATATTTATATTTAAGCATTGATACAATTTAATTAACCAGGTTAAAAACATGCCATTTATTATTTTGCATAATCTCATATATCTTCATAAGTTCATGTTCTTTATACTTATATTTGGAATAACAAAGGCAATCACAATCAAGTTGGTCGAACAGTTGACTTGAGAGCTGTCTATTGTCAATATGCAACCTAAGTTGATTTACTTTATTGTGGTCTGTCGATTAAGGTCACAAAATAAACTTCACTGATAACGTATTTTTGAGTAGTATAACTCCTTGTGGTCCGTTGCCGTTTGTAATTGATGGAAAGAAAAAATGTTGCAATTCGTAATGGATAATGGAAAAGAACACACTTTACAACATGTGAAATACCCATAAATTACATATTAAAGGTAAATCATACTGAAAAAATCTTATACAACGGGTTCAATTGAAATGATATTGACAATAATAGAACTCATGACTTTTTTATACGAGAACCATATTCTCATCATACGGTCATCCTTTGGGAACAAATATACTCAATTTTTATGATGAAGTTAGCCGGCAAGGACACGATGCCTTAGATGTTTGGAAATATAAGATAGTAAAAATGTTTTATTTTATGATGAACTAATAATTTTGTACTAGTGCATGGTGCAATTGTTCCTAATAGGTGCTAATTTTAATATGGCAAAAATTTGTGTGAGATTGTCTCACGAATCTCAATTCCTGACTCGTGAGATGAGTTAGATTTTTGATTAATGATGTCAAAAATTCAACCCATTAATTAAAGATTCGGCCCGTCTCATAGATTAAGACCCGTGAGAGGGTCTCACGCAAGTGTTACCTTTTCAACATTAGTGGTTTTTTTCACAAGTTTTTAGACAAACAAGAATGATGTAGATGAGAGAGAAATTTCGGCTTATTCTGTAAATGGTGGTTTTTTTGTGAGACTCGCACGAGAGAGAAAAGGGAAGGAAAAGGTAACTTTGCGTGCGTTTGTTGCACATATCGCGCCTAGCGGGTGCTTGTAGTGCTTCCATTTTTCTTCTTCTTCTCTGTTCTTACTCTCTTTCATAATTGACACCTTAAAAATCATTTCGAAAAATTCACTATTAAGGATGTCCTAAGAGGTCTTTTGTTTTTTATTTTTATTTTTATTTTTATTTTTTTACGTGAAAGCTAGACTTGGGAGTTGGCATCGTTTCGTTAATACCCAAAATCATCCTCGACTATAGTAGTTTTTCTCAATTTCGTCCTAAACGACTTTGGTGACCTAATATCGTCCCAAACTTTTGTGTTTTGCTCAATTTAGTCCTAGACTTTTGTGTTTTTGCTCAATTTAGTCCCTCATTTGTTATTCTGTCCATTAGGTGTTAAATAAATAGACAATTCAGTAATTTTAATATTGGCACCTCTTACTCATAGACATGTGAACTGCGAAATCCTTTTTTTTTTTACGAATTACTCTCAGAATTACTCCTAAAACTGCGAATATAAAATTTAATTTGTAGGTCCGGGAGTAATTCTGGGTGTAATTCGTACAAGAAAGAGGAATTTCGCACTTCACAAGTTGAAAGAAAAGAGAGATCAATATTGACGTTACTGAATTGTCCCTTTATTTAACACCAATTTGATGGAATAACAAATGGAGGACTAAATTGAGCGAAATACAAAAGTCTGGGACGATATTAGGTCACCAAAGTCGTTTAGGACGAAATTGAGAAAAATCACTATAGTCGAAGACGATTTTGGGTATTAACTCTTTCTTAAATAGTCAATCTGGGCGTTAGAGGGATGGTAGACACTTGCTGGGGTTTTCCTCACTTCTTACCTCATTTCTTTCCACTTTCCCCACATTCACAAGGTATCCTTTTAATTTATAAAAAATGATAATAAAATTTTATTATGTCTGAATCCATCAAGGAATACAAAGAAGTGTGATAAAAGAGAAAACTCTATCTACTATTTCATCTTAATTTATGGTTATTTTTAATTCTTTTTTTTTTTTTGTGAAGATTTTTAAATCTCTCATTGATTGGTTATTTAGATCATCACCAAAAAAAAAAAAAAAAAAAAAAAAAAAAAAAAAAAACCTTATTTCTCTTTTAAAGATTTTTCACAAGCTATCATTTTAAAAGGATATATATCAAATGTATTTTTTTAATTGATATGTAAAAGTACAAGATTTTGTCATATTGCAAGATGGTAATTGTAGATACTAGATAGACATGATCACAATTTGGTTCCAAGTGAATTGTCTAACCGTCTAAGAGTGTAATTAAACCTGAACTTAAATCGTAAAAGGATTATATTAAATTATTATATTACTAAAAATTAACATGTACAGGGACGGAGCCAGAAATTCGGTTGAGGGGGGAGGGGAGGAGGGAAGAAGTACGAACGGATTCAGAAAATTTTTCCAGTAAAGGCGAAACATTAAAACAAAAGTAATAAATTTTTTTTTTTGGGTTGATGTCAAATGATTTGAACCCTTAACCTTTACCATTACCAAACATGTACTCTGCCAACTAATCTAATTTATTTCTTATTAACATTTAATAATTTTTTATATATATTTTTAAAATAAAGAGCTAATTCATTAATCATAAGTTGAAACAGTTACAATAAAGATCAATAGAATGATAAAACATTCTTTACCGTCAGACATAGAAACAACTTTCCTAGCAATATAATGATAAAAGAAACTTGAATCGCAAACTGTGTTACAAGATTGAAGCTGAATTCATTGGAGGAACCTGAAGCTTCTTTGATGTTGGTAATGATCTGGCTATCCAAAACTGACTCTGTTTGAGAAGTCTTGCATACCACCTGAGTAACTATTGCGGCTCTTCTGTCCGTAGACAATATCTTCATTAATCTGAACTGCATATCATGGTTCAGATCTTCTTCGTTGCTCAGGATGAGATAAACATACGCCATGATCAAATCGTTTCACCTTAATGAAAAAAGAACTCGCCAAAGAAACGAGAGGGAATAACTCGCCAAAGAAGCGAGAGGAAATAACTTATGGAAAAAGTGAAAAACACATATATGTAGATTAAAAAAAAAAAAAAAAAAAAAAAAAAAAAAAAACTCCACGTCTTCTCCTGTCAAGAAGACACCATGCCTTCTTGTCCTTGATCAAAGCACAAAACTTCCTGCCGTTTTTCAGAACTCAAAGCCTGCATTACCTAGATTCAAGAAAAGAACACTGACACAGAGCCTTCTTTTCCCTTTTTGTTGAAAAATAAGCGTTGACAATGGTGGGGGCCTTCTTGATTATATCTGGTGCTGGAAGTTGTGAAACTAAAAAACAAATACTCCCTTGTCCCATTTTGCATGTCTTACTTTCCTTTTTAGTTTGTTCCAAAATATTGTCATCTTTCCAAAATTGAACATCACCATTATTTTACTTTTTCCTAAATTACCCTTATGACTTTTGCTTTTATTTCCAAAAGTGAAAAAGCAAAGGGCATAATTTAAAAATACATAACATTTATTTTAATTCATTAAAAAGCGTGCATAAAGTAAATAAGACAACCAATTCGGGACGAAGGGAGTGCAAAAGAACTGCGGAAGTATGAGACCGCCGGTCAAGGACAGAGTTGGCCAATGGCCGGCGGCCATACTACGAAGGAACAGCAAGATGCAAGGTTTGGGAGGACAGAAAGGCAGAGAGGTTTTTTTTTTTTTAGTTTAAGAGAGGCAATTTTAATAATTTTTTATATTAATACTAAAACATGTACTATATATATATATATATATATATATATATATATATATATATATATATATATATATATATATATATATATATATATATATATATATATATATATATATATATATATATATATATATATAAAGATTATATATGGGATGATGGTGGGGTGAGGAGGACAACTGCCCCCGCTTTGGCTCCATCCTTGAACATGGATCAGAGTTAAATAATCGATTGTGGTAGCGCAGATGCAAAAAGTCGGTCAATTTGAGACAAGGGCGTCGGCAATTGTGAGATCCAGTATCCGCTCTGCTCTCCATCCGCGATGGCGTTTCTCGCCGAGCTCCAGCTTCCAAGCGTAGCTTTGCTTCCTCCGCCCATCAAGACGAGGCCGGTCTGTTCATATTCCTTTTTGTATTTTTATCGCTATAGATTCTCGTTTCCCTGGCTTTGCATATCTTTTCGTCTCTTCAGTGTTCCTCATAATCGAGTCTGGTGTAGAGTTTAGTATTTTACATTTCACGCGCACATCTTTATTTACATGTAGATTTAGGGTTTTTCTTATCCTCGATATCCGATCACGTCGTGTTATTTGAGATGACTTTTCAATCCATTCCGCTTGATCTAGTATATGAGATGCATGCATTGAATGTCATTTCGTGTAATATAATCTATTTTGTGTGTTTCTGATGTCAGATTGTGAACTTGTACATGTTTGTGTCATCGCAATTGATTGAAATTCGAATTGTTTGTAATGGTTTGAGCGCAGCGGAATTGAAGCTTCAAATTGGGAGAAAATCACCTATGCTGGAATAGTTGCATGTATTATCCTTGCAGCTGTTAATCTTTCCCACAATTGCTTTAAATATGAGCGATAATCAAGTGTAACGGCTCAGGGAATTGGTTGAACGAAATAGGAAGCAAAACGACATCGCATGAGTGTGACGGTTAAGGCTGTTGAAGAAGTCATTGGAAGCCAGAGCTAAACGCCGTCGTTTTAATAAGTCAGCTTAGCGGTTAGAATCGTTAGTCTTATATGACGTCGTTGTAAGGGTGGTTGCTAGAAGGGATTAAATACCCTGAAATTGTACTGAGCAGTTATGTTTTTGGAGTAATGCAGATTTATTCTTCTCCAACCTCTTATCTCTCTCTCTCTCTCTCTCTCTCTCTCTCTCTCTCTATCTCTCTTCTGTCAACCCTAGAAACCATTACATTTGGTATCAGAGCTCGTAAATGGAGGCACGCTTGAACCAGCTCGAACTAGTGGTGGCCGATCTAAGTAATCAGATGGAAGAACAGAAGCAGACCACTTCAGAGTTGCTGGAACGATTAGTTGCTCAGATGAGCGATTGGAAGAACGAGATAGCTGAAACAATCAGGCTCAATCGTCCTCAGCCTCCGATCCTCAGCTCCGTTCCAGGTGGATCATCGGTGAATGGAGCAAGACGTGATCCACCAGCTTACTCCCATCACAGGCCGGGAAAGGCTCCCGCCGCACAAACTATAAGGCAGGACGAAGTACTGGAAGGAGCAGAATCGGACAGTGAAATCGAGCCGGCGGAGTTCGCTATGGACTGGACAAGAAGGAAATTCCAAAGGCCAGTTAGGGACTCTCCTCTATTAAGGTACCGTTATGATTTCCCTGCCTTTGATTATGAGCATCCGAGGCTATGGATTAGTAGGTGTGAGAGATTCTTCTTGTTGGCTTATATTCCAAAAATTGAGATAATGCATGTATTGTATGTAAACCTAACCGGAAAGATAGGGTTATGGTTCGAAGGATATCTGACTGGATTAGACGAACCTTTCCAGTGGACTCACTTTGCAGAGGCAGTGGTTAGGAGATTTGGGGAAGATAGTGGGGTAGTGATGGAAGAGATCGCCTATTTTAGACAGATTGGAGGGGTGATGGAATTCACAGACAAATTCGAGGAGTTCAGAAGCCAATTAATACAAAAACACCCCACCCTCACTGACCTATACTTCTTAGAAGCCTACTTAGCCCGACTTAAGCCCCATCTAAGATGTTTTGTTAAAACATCCCAACCCAAATGTCTAGCTGATGCAATGTGGACTGCTAGACAGCTGGAAAAGGGCTTGAAATTCAATGAGCAACCCACAAAAAACCCTGCCCAATATATAGCCAAAAATTCCCAACCCATAACCAACCTTGCAAACCCCAAGCCCTATAGCCAAAATACCAATTCTAAACCTTATACTAGCCAGGGAGCCACCACCTCTAGTGGCAGTAACAGCTCTGTCAAGGGTCCTGAGTAGACCAAGACTAGATTGCAGTTGAGAGAACAAAATAAATGTTTCAGATGTTTTGAACATTGGCAGCCTGGGCATAAATGTAAGGGATCCACTCTCCACAATGTTGAAGAGAATGAATTCCAAGATGCAAATGATGAATTAGCCACTGAGGAACCAGGGGAGGAACCGGCTGAGGTTTCCTTGTATGCTATGATGGGGGGTGAAGGACTGAATACTATTAAGCTATTGGGAGCAATCCAAAGGCAACCAATAGTCATTTTGGTAGATAGTGGAAGCACACATAGCTTCCTAGACCCAAAACTCCTCACACAATTAAGAATGGAGTCAGAGAAAGCTCAGGTTCTCAGTGTGACAGTGGCCAATGGGGAACAGCTATGGTGTGATGCTATCTGTAGAAGATTGTCCTGGCAGATGCAAGGGGAAATGTTTATGAAGGATTTCAGATTGCTGAAACTAGGAGGGTGTAATATGGTCCTTGGAATGGACTGGATAGACCAATATGCACCTATACAACTCCATACTAGACCCCTTGGGCTATCATTTTATAAGGATGGCAAGAAACTGTTGTTGAAGGGGTTGGGTAGAAAATCTGAAAGGTTACAAGCAGCATCCAGCAGTGAAATTAAGAAGTGGGAGAAGAATGGAGTGCAAGGCTTCTTAGTCCACTGTGAGGGCTTGAATAATGAGACCTTGAAGGTCAGAAGAAGTATGTTGAATCAGGTGACTGTGCAGACTGAATACCAGGAATTATCTGAATTGATCCAAGAGTTCCAAGACTTGTTTAAGGAGGCTGAAACCCTTCCACCAAGGAGGTTGCATGACCATGCTATTCCCTTAATGCCTGGAGCACAAGCTGTGAATATAAAGCCATATAGATACTCCTTTGACCAGAAGAATGTTATTGAGGAAATGGTAGGAGATATGCTCAAATCTGGGGTTATAACTGAAAGTGTGTCTCCCTTTGCATCCCCAGTCTTGCTAGTCCCTAAAAAGGATAATACTTGGAGGTTTTGTGTGGACTATAGAGCCTTAAACAACATTACCATCAAAAACAAGTTTCCCATCCCAGTGGTAGAGGATTTGTTTTCTGAGCTAGTTGGGTCCAAGTATTTCAGCAAATTGGATTTAAGGGCAGGATATCACCAGGTTAGGATGAGGGAAGGAGAAGAATATAAAACTGCCTTTAAAACCCACCAAGGTCTCTATGAATTCAGGGTCATGCCTTTTGGGTTGACAAATGCACCAGCTACATTTCAAGCATTAATGAATGTTGTATTCAAACCATTACTGAGGAAATTTGTATTGGTTTTTTTTTATGACATATTAGTCTACAGTGCTGAGTTGGAACTTCACTGGGAACATCTCAGAAGGGTTCTAGAGCTTATGAGGGAGCACAAGTTGTTGGCCAAGCTAAGTAAGTGCTCCTTTGTACAGAAAGAAGTTGAGTACCTAGGCCACATCATCTTTGATCAAGGCCTGCACACTGATCCTTCCAAACTCCAAGCTATAGCTGAATGGCCTAAGCCTGAATCCATCAAGGCCCTGAGGGGATTCTTAGGCCTCACTGGTTATTATAGAAGATTTATCAGGGCATATGGAGTCATTAGCAGACCTCTAACAAGCATGCTTAAAAAGAACTCATTTCAGTGGAACAAGGAAGCTGAGAATGCCTTTGATCAGTTGAAACAAGCATTGTGTGTTGCACCTGTGTTAGCCCTTCCTGACTTCCAGAAAACATTTATAGTAGAAGCAGATGCTTGCCACAAAGGTATGAGGGCAGTACTAATCCAAGAGGAGAAACCAATTGCCTACTTCAGCAAGGCATTTGGGGAAAAGCATCTAGGCCTATCAATCTATGAGAAAGAGTTTATGGCTATCATCAATGCAGTAGAAAAATGGAGATCATACCTGCTAGGGAGGCACTTCATTATTAGGACTGATCACCACAGTCTGAAATTCCTGCTGGACCAGAAAATAACAACTTCAGCCCAGCAAAAAGGGTTGTCTAAGCTCCTAGGATTGCATTATACAATCCAATACAAGAAGGGCAGTGAAAATTGTGTTGCTGATGCCCTTTCCAGAAGAGAAGTGAACCAAGAAGCTGAGCTGAAAGCTGTTCTAAGTATAAGGCCACAATGGATGGAAGAAGTGGCCAACAGTTATGAGGAAGATGATTGGGCCCAGGATAAGTTAACAGCAAGTCTGATCAACCCTAGCAATGATCCTAACATTGCCATAGTGGAAGGACTCATCAGGTATAAACAGAAACTGTATGTTGGCAGTAAGGGAAATCTGAGAACTGAACTAATCTTACAGATGCATGATTCACCCCTTGGGGGGCATTCTGGGCAACAAGGGACTTATCACAGGCTGAAATCCCTTTTTTTATTGGCAGAAGATGATGAGTGATGTTAAGGCAGTAGTAGATGCTTGTGATACATGTCAAAGATGCAAGTCTGAAAGTGTTGCATCACCTGGATTCTTGCAGCCCCTTGCCATCCCTGATCAAGCTTGGAAGGGGATAGCAATGGACTTTATTGAAGGGTTGCCTAGATCTCAAGGAAAGGATGTGATTCTTGTGGTAGTAGATAGACTCACCAAGTACAACCATTTTATTTTTTTGGTCCATCCATACACTGCTGAAAGTGTGGCCTCAGTTTTCATGGAAAATGTGTACAAGTTACATGGACTACCATAGTACATTGTGACTGACAGAGATAGGGTATTTCTCAGTAAGTTTTGGCAGGCCATATTCAAGCAACTCCAGGTCCATCTGAGTATGTCTACGGCCTACCATCCCCAGTCAGATGGCCAGACTGAAAGAATCAATAGATGCTTGGAGACCTACCTAAGATGCATGGTGTTTAGCAGACCCAAGGCCTGGGCCAAGTGGTTGCACTTAGCTGAATATTGGTACAACACCAACTTCCATTCATCCTTGCAGTGCACCCCATTTCAAGCTCTCTATGGGTACAAACCCCCTATGTTGGCCTTAAGCACTGAAGGTGAAGTGGGAGTGGAGGGATGGATGGCTGAAAGAGCAGCTATGTTGGCAGTTCTCAAAGACAATTTGAAGACAGCCCAGGAAAGAATGAAGCAACAAGCTGATAGGAAGAGGAGTGAAAGGATCTTGCAAGTAGGGGACTGGGTCTATCTGAAAATTCAGCCCTATAGGCAACTCTCTGTGGCTATAAGATCTAACATTAAGCTCACATCCAAGTACTATGGGCCTTACCAAGTTATTGAGAAGGTTGGTCCTGTAGCATATAGGTTGGACCTGCCAACCAGTGCACAAATCCACCCCGTATTCCATGTATCTCAGCTGAAGAAGAAGGTGGGAAACTCAGCAGCCCTGTAATTGGAACCCCCTGTCACAGGTCAAGAAGGTGAAGTTCTTGCTCAACCAATTGCAGGCTTGAATAAAAGGCTTGTTAAGAGGAATAATAAGGCTGTGACACAAATCTTAGTTCAATGGGCCAATCTGCCCGAAGAAGCTGCAACCTGGGAAGATTTCTATCATATCAAGAGACAATTTCCTGGGTTTGATCCTTGGGGTCAAGGATCTCCACAAGAAGGGGGTAATGTAACGGCTCAGGGAATTGGTTGAACGAAATAGGAAGCAAAACGACATCGCATGAGTGTGACGGTTAAGGCTGTTGAAGAAGTCGTTGGAAGCCAGAGCTAACACCGTCGTTTTAATAAGTCAGCTTAGCGGTTAGAATCGTTAGTCTTATACGACGTCGTTGTAAGGGTGGTTGCTAGAAGGGATTAAATACCCTGAAATTGTACTGAGCAGTTATGTTTTTGGAGTAATGCAGATTTATTCTTCTTCAACCTCTTATCTCTCTCTCTCTCTCTCTCTCTCTCTCTCTCTCTCTCTCTCTCTCTCTCTCTCTCTCTCTCTTCTATCAACCCTAGAAACCATTACATCAAGATCAAACTAGTGTTCTTTGAAAGGGTGTACCTATGAACGATAGCTATGGAAGGAGATCTAATATAAACAAAGAAATGAAGATAGATTAATTAATATTAAAATCCAAAGCTTTATTCTCAAATTCAAATCATGATAGAATGTTAAATTAAAATTGCTATTATATCACCAGTATAAGTCCAAAGCTATTATTATTAGGACTCTATGTATCTGAGTATATTTATAACTTTTTATCCCTGTCACACTGTGACTCTCTATTGTATATATTCACATCATCTAATCTCATTGTAATCAAGTTCAGTAAATACAATGCAATCAGTTCTCATCTGGTATCAGTAAACTAGAGTTTTTTCTTTGTCTCTCGTCTCTATGGCTGACGGATCTGTTGATTCCTCCGAACGGACCGTGTCTGATGCTGCTATCCACCGCACATCAGATCACTTCATCAGTACTGTTGATCCCGAGAGGGTGGCGAGAATTGAAGTCTAGAGAGAAGGGGGGGGGGGGGGGGGAGGTGAATAGACTTCTCAAACTTTTCTTAGATACACAACACTTTGGTAATTTCAACTCTAAATAACAAAGTATAAAGAGCTAAACAACTTAGAGTATGCACAACGGAATAATTAACGGCAAAGTGTTATGCTTATTTGTGCGGTGCTTCAAAGAAAGATCCAAACATGCAGCACGTTAGAATGACTTGATATGGTTTAAAGATGATATGTGAAAAGATTGGTTCGCATGCAAACGTGAGAACTATCAAACCCAGACAAATAAAGATATGCGATAAATCGTTACGGGTTAGTTCGTAGTTAAAGCATGCAGATAAGTAAGCGAGCAGTAAGTAAAGTAAAGAGAGAGAAAGGTTTATAGTGGTACGGAGACATGAGTTTTGACATCCCATTAGCATCATGCTTAACACTACACAGGATCACCTTCTTCTTCAGTACCAATTATCTCCACGCTCTGTAGGGATGATCGCAACTACGGAGAGCTTTTAGCGTGCAAATACTGAAAGCAACACTTTTGTTTTTTGTTTTTTTTTTTTTCGCCAAAATCGGGCACCGCCACAGCTCCCATGGCCGAGGGCAACCTTTGACCCATGCGTAGACACGGTTACCGTTTGGGACCGTGTTCACCATGGATGGTGAACACGGTTCCATAGCATAACGATTGGTAATTTTGATAGCAAGAATGTCAATGACGCCTTCAGACCCGAGATTGCCGTTCAAATTCCAGCGTAAACAATCCCAGTTATGCTGTCATATGCAATGACAATCAACAAAAGTTAAGGGCAAACTTTGGCTCATGTAGGCATGTTGTTGAAGAAGCCGGAATTTGTACATGGTCAATTGTATGTTGTGGCATCCAAAGTAACAAGTCCAAAAGGCTTGAAGATTGTAATTTTTGATGAAAATGGTCAGGATAATAATTTCACAAATAATGTTGTTTACAAAGATATTTTCAATAATCTATAATTTAATTTGATACATTCTTTATTCATCATCTTTATTATTAAGTTCTTTTGTAGTTCTTTATATATATAATATAAAAAATAATATTATTTTTTCATAATATTTAATATTACAATATACTTAATTGAATGTTACAATATCCATAATATACTTTAATGTTACCAAGAATTATTACAATAACTATAATAAAATTTTAGTCCGTGCATAGACATATTAGTAAGAGAAAAAGTGTTATTTTTCCTACTTAAAATTTAAAAATTAAAAGTAAGAAAACCCTAAAAATCTCTCGCTACCTCTGGACTCTGGAGACGCCACTGCCGCCGATACTTCTCCAGTGCTCCCCGCTGCCTCTCGGTGCTGCCGACGACGACGTAGAATATCAGACGCCACCTCCCGCTCGCTCCAGCTCCCTCTCGCTGCCGCCGCCGACGCATCAAATCAGCCGCCAGTCCGCCACCTACCGCTGCCTCCCGGTCCCTCTCACTGCATTTGATTCGGTAAAATTGCAATTTGCAACATAGTTCAATTTTGAACCAATGTTATCTGTTTACAGGTGCATGCAGTTTTTCATGAACTAAATATGAAAATTTGCTGCTTTTATTTAGTGCTAATTAGTGACTTACAATATGATTGGAGTATCTTAGGCTTCGTAGCAATGGTTACCTTTGCAAATACCTTAGATTGTGTTTGCTTTAGTTGCTAATTAGTGACTTGCAATATGATTGGAGTATCGTGGCAATGGTTACTTTTCCAAATACCTTAGATTGCGTTTGCTTTAATTCTCTCATTATAGTAAATGCACACTTATCTTTATTCATTTACCCAACACAAATATTCGGTTTAAATTGTATGATAATGACAGTGGTGATGCTGTTTATTTCACTAAGAAATGATGGAAATTGGGGGAAATAAAAGACTTGTGGTGAATTTGTCAGGGTTTTGCACAATGTGTTCTGTGAGGATATGTATGTTGTTTGTGCCATTAATGGTGAACTTTTGCCAGCTGATATACAATAGCCCATTTAGCATGTATAAATTGAAGATTTAATATTGCCTCAGGGAACAAAAATTGTAATTTTCACAATTTATGAAAGGTTATGGTTGAAAAGGCTAATTAAGCCTCAAACACTTAGTTAATGGCTTAATGTAAGAATATTGTAGAATAATAAAATAAGTTAACTTTTATGCTAAAGGATGAATTATCTTTTTAAAACATTTGCTTAATTATACACTTGTTTATTTTTATTTTTATTTTTCTCAAAAAGAGAAATCATATCAAGAAATTTATCTTCCGGTATCCAACTCATGAAAGTAAGTTACACTTTTTCTAGATTAAGCTAAAGTGTATTTCAAGGATTTTAGTGCTATTATCAAATTTGTTTTGGATTTAAAATCTAGTAGCATCTTTGCAGCTATCATTGCTCTTTCAATTTGAGTTTGTTCTTGTAGAATATTATTGAGACTTCAATTTTAGTACACTTACCCTGCTGTTTCTTTTGATGATAGCTTGAAGGACATAACTCTCTATGCTCAAACTGTTCAGTGAGCACCTGGGATATAACTCTCTATATGCTCAAACTGTTCAGTGAGCACCTGGGATATAACTCTCTATATGCTCATTTTGCATTTATATTTTAGTTAAGTATGAGTTGAGCAGACCAATATTAGTTGGTGTTGGTGATGATGCTTGTGACTTGAAACAACAGAAGTCTGGATGCGGTAGATTAATTTAGTTGTATGGTCTATGAATGTGATGTATTAGGATTAATTTAGTTGTATGCTATTAATGGTGATCGATTGTTTTGGCCATTATATCTTTTCAACGTTTTCGTGTTACAATAATAACTGCATCATGACTATAAAATGCTTTCTACCTTATAGTTCAAATTTTTATTTTGAAATTTTCTGCACTTTCCTTTCTTAAATGTTTTTTGGTCAGTTCAGGTTTTAAATATACCTCTAGGGTTTAAGGTTTATTGAATCCAATGCTAACTTGTTGTAACAAATGGATTTTTAGAGCACAATCATGGGAAAGAAGCGAAAACACAGCGAGGAGATAGCCGCAGATGCTAATAAAGATGAAAGTGTACAGGAGAGGCCCAAAAGAACCCTTTTGGGATGGAAAGATGAAGGTGAACCTGAAAAAGAAAGCGACTCTGTGGGTGTTTTCAGAAATAAAGAGAAGGTTTTAGTCACCTCTAGCCGCCGTATTAGTTACAGGTTATTATTATTGTTATTATTTTGGGGGTTTATTATTGGCTTTGTTCTATTATCAAAAGTTTTTATGGTATTTAGATTAATTCTTTCGATTTGGGGATTTCAGATATCGGCATCTGATGCTGAATTTGGTGTCACTATTGCCACATTGTAAGAAAGACAACAAAGTGGAGTCAAAGAGCAGTAAAGGTGCAACCTTAAATGAGCTGGTTGAGCTAAAGAGCTGCTCATCTTGTTTGTTTTTCGAGGTATTTGTGACTTTATCATCAGATTCTTGTCCAAAGGTTTAACTTGTGTTTTGTAAGTATGATTTGGTTAAGCTAAGGAATTGCTTGTCTTGTTTGTTTTTGAGACATCTCATGTTTATTATCAGATGCTTGTCTAAATATTTATGTTAGTAGTGTCTGTAGCCTGTGGGTGATTTTTATTGTGTCATTGGAAGCTTTCACTTTTTCAAAGTTGCATTTACATTTTTCCCCGAGTCTTACTGAATAAACTTGCTTTATGCCTTGCTGAATATGTATAGGCATGGTTTCTTCCCCAAAAATATTAATGTTTGCCTTTCTCCCTTTACAGTGCCGGAAAGGAAAAGACCTTTATTTATGGATGGCCAAGTGCCCCAATGGTCCATCTGTGAGGTTTTTAGTCAATGCAGGTAATCCAGTACATCAGTAGCTTGGATGAAGTATAAACCCAGTGTATGAACATATTTAATGAAGTGCCCTTGGCCATGTTTCTCTCAGAAGTCTGTTATTTTTTTAATGCAGTGCACACAATGGAAGAGTTGAAGCTTACTGGAAATCACTTGAAAGGCTCGCGCCCTATTCTAACTTTCTCAAGCAATTTTGATAAAGATCCATATTGGAAGCTTTTGAAAGAGATGATATTGCAGGTGTTTATCACTTGCCTCTGCTTGAATTAAAGTTCTTGACACGTTAAATGTGACTTTTGAACTTCAGTATGGATACATATTTTTCATTCATAGCATTTATAGGCTCTATATGCAAGGATACTACTAGGTGATTTCCAGAATAAGATTTCCAACTTGCAGATATCTTCCACCTGAAGGTTCTTCACTTGCTAATTAAATTCACCCTTAATTAAAGGATGCCATTTTTAAGTATATTCTACAATCAGTATTCAACAGTTCCTCATTTTGATGCATGGTACCTTATTGTCTATTAAGGATGTTGCTTTTTTGCTCCATTTTGTTGAGTCATATTTGTAGTTCTTATTTTTTGTTTGCATTAAAATATTATTAAACATCTAATTTTTTTTTTTAAAAAAAAGTGCGCATATTGTGAAGTAGTTGTGGTATCATAAAATGTTCAGGGTTTGGTTAAACTACACTCTTCATTGCTAATGTCCCAAACATATTTCATGTTAGTTAGTACTACTATAGGAACGTTTAAGATTGTTGGCTTGTTGTTGAATTAATAAAATATGGTTTTATTAAATTAAAATCAACCAAGGGATAATAGTTCATTATATAAAAAAGTTGGACTATTGTATGTGGTTTCAGTGTAAGAAAAGGGTGCTATTTTGCAAGTGTTGAGCATTACTACAGTCTTCTTATGTGTCACTGTTTCTTTTTATTGCCAGATATTTGGAACTCCTAAGGATCAGAGGAAATCCAAGCCTTACCATGATCATGTATTTGCTTTCTCTATCGTTGATGACCATATTTGGTTCCGGAATTACCAGGTTTCTAATCTTCATTTCTCCATTATCCTGGTTTATGATTCATCATTTCTCTTGATCTTGTAATACCCCCTAAAAGTTTATTATACATGTTATATATGGCTTTTGAACTTTGGTATGGATATATATTCTCATTCATAGCATTTAAAGGTATGCTATTAGAGTTCTTGGTGAATTCCAGAGTAAGATTTTCATCATACAAATATCTCCCATCTGCTAAGAAAATTCACCTTTTAAGTAAAGGATGTCATTTTTAGTATTTACTGCAACCATTATTCTGCAGTACCTGTTTCTGATGCATGACACTAGACTATAAAGGATGTTTCTTATTTCTTAAATAAGTACTGTTATGAGTGTACATCTGATGACCACTACATGGTGTTTTAGGGGTTAGCTACTGAATATTTTTTTTTATGAAAATTGGGAGATTTTATTTCTTTATTCTCTGTCAATGATTTTTGTGGGAGAAAATAAATATAAACTATGGGTATATGCTAATGAAGCCCCACACATTTTTCCAAATGGAAGTTTTGTGCTTTATATGCCACTCAAAAGTAACCTCTGTTATTTTTAACATTAACACATTATGCACTTGTCTTAATTTTTGAACAGATCTCTTGTCCCCACAGTGGAGCACAAAAATTAGACCGTGGAGACCTAGAGAAAATGACCCTTGTTGAGGTTTGTAATCATAACTCTTATTTTTATATAGCAACAATTAAATCCTAATTATTCCCTTTCCCATTTCTGTGCATAGGTTGGTCCAAGGTTCTGCTTGAATCCAATAAAAATATTTGGTGGTAGTTTCGGAGGCCCGACACTTTATGAGAATCCATTCTATGTTTCTCCAAACCAAGTAAGTGCCATTGCTGTTCTCCTATCTCTGCATGCAGAACCTAAGTGCATTGCTTCTAGATGATGTAAGGCTGCTTGGAGAGTCTTTGACTCACCCATCAGGTGACCTGATTCTATCTATTGCTTATATAACCAAACAAGGTTCACCTGACCTGATTCAGGTCACATGAACCTTGTTTGGTTATATAAGCAATAGTTATAGCTAGGATAAATTGCTTAAATTAATCCTTTTAGGATAAGTTCTTTTCGGCAAGTTAAAAACAGCTCGTATGGTTGTATGGGGTTAGTCAGATCAACTGGCTTCTGAAAAGCAAGCTTTAGTGAGCTCATTCTGACATATGTATGTTGAAACAAATTATATAGATGAGCACAAACTAGCTTTTTTGGTAGCCATATGATATTCTTATTAGACTGTAAGCCTTTTCGAACATTCCTAGTATTTATGGTAAGTATTAAGGGGAAATAAGCTGATCGGCAAATAATATTATGGACCATGGTCCACATTTGCAATGTAGGCCACAAATAAATGTTCATTTTTATTACACTGAATGTTCATTATTAATGTACTGAAAGTACATTTTTTGGAGGTATACTTGAAAACGAACCTTTAGTATACAAAAAATGAACATTCAATGTACTAAAAATGAACCTTCATTATACAAAAAATGAATCTTATGTCAATAATCCATCTTGCAAGGTGGACCATGGTCCATGCTATAATGATTGTAAGCTCATCTAACTGGGCCAAAATAGTATAGGATGACACTTCCATTAATTCTTTAGTGAATCTTGAAAGAATATGTAATACCATGGAACCTTGATAATGCATAGAGTCTGTAGTTTTGTAACCTCTCATGCAGTTTTTACTTAACCCATTTGTTCAGTAGTCATATTTTTCTTTCACGTGTGGTTCCAGGTACGATCATTAGAGAAAAAACAGAAGGCTGGCAAGTATGCAAAGAAGGTGAAGGCAAAGACTAGGAGAAAGATGCATCAGCTGTCAAATCCAATGGAACTCGATGAATTTGCAGATATGTGGAAGGATTGATGAATCGTTTGTGGATTCACAATTTTGGTTCCCAATACCAAGTGGCAGCAACTAGCAATCTCGAGATGGCAGTGAGGAATCATAGTCTCAACTATGCAATTGGTTGCATTTCCAAACCAGCTCTTTTACCGACCCCTCTTTACAATCTTCTCTCATCTCGCCATTGAATTGCACCATCATCTATGTTGCCATACACACTTGTTTTTGAGCAAAATTAGTATTGGTATTAGAAAGGATAACAAAAAAGAAGTATGTGATGTTTTTATGCGTTTTCAGCTGCCTGCAGAGTTGTTGTATCATGGAATTCACATCACTCCAAATTTTGAGTTTTTGAATTTCTTTGGTGTCTTTGCATTGTGTTAGATCACCATTCACAAATACATGATTTTGTTTTTTTTCTATGGTTGCTTGGCTAGTTGGCTATATATAAAAAGTTCTTTCTCCCTTATATTCGATCGGTCAGATGTAAATGCTCGTAAAAATTTGTAATTATTAAATATTAGCAATTATCATATGTAAATGCTCGTAAAAATTTGCAATTATTAAATAGTAGCTTATAATTGCTCGGCAATTATTAAATAGTAGCTTATAATTGTTCATAAAAATTTGCAATTATTAAATAGTAGCTTATAATAAGGAGCTTTTATTATAGAAATGCTTGTAAAAATTTGCAATTATTAAATAGTAGCTTATAATAAGGAGCTTTTATTATAGAAGGGGAAAGAAAATGACAAAACGGCATAAGCTTCAGTAATATTCAATTCTATAACAATTCAAAAGTTGTCATTTAAATGATTAAGATGGGAGAATGAAATTAAATTTTCATATGCATATTACAGGAATAATTCGTCACTTGTGTAGAAGGTGTAGAAGGAATTAGCGATGTATTGTTAGTCACGTCCATAGAGAGACTAATGTAATCTATTTGCTTATTGGATGACAAACTTTCATCATCATGGTGAGTATATGCTTTGATATTTTGAGGCACACATTGAAAGACTCAAATAGTTTCTCTTTCCCAATCTTGTTAGTGTTGCGTGACCTAAATTGATGTATGATTTGTTTGGTAAATGGTTGTTAGCTATTAGCTGATTGAGTTAATGAGAGGATATAACTAGTTGATAACATTAGTTGATTGTAGAAATGTGTTTGATAAATTAGGTGTTAGCTGATAGTTGTTTGTAATTTTTTGAAAAAATTTCAATTTTGGTCACACGACTATAGAAATTTTGTTAATTTCAACACATAACTTTCAAAAGTGTCAATTTAGTACATTGAGTATGTAAATTTTGGTCACTCCGGCCAAATTGCCGGCCAAATTTGACCGAAAAAATTAATCCAACATTTATTTTTAAATGTGAGGGGCAAAATCTTCTTTTCTATCATTTCTCCTAATTAAGTTGACCGAATTAAGTTGTTGACCCGGTTCAGCAACAAAGACTCCTTCGTTGAGCGAGATAATTCCTTCGAATAATAGCAACCTCCTCCCGTTTTGCATAGATTGGTGTTTGTTATTTTTCTAGTTTAAAGTTTGATGATCTTAGCGGCCTTCATGGGATTTTCTCGGGCGGTCGCCTCTCGGCCAGCAGCTTTGTAGTCGTAGCTGCAATCATGTCGGTTAGAGTACGGTCAATCCTACCTTTCTCCGACAACCAGAACACCGGCTCACCTCTCTCCTAGGCGGAACTGGCGAACTATTGACCTTGGCTTCATCACTACCTGCTAACCTCCAATCTTCTCACGTTGTTTCCGGCGACGACATCCGGACGATAGATCTAGGAGATTTGTCGGAGAATTTATGAGGAATTGTCGACATTGAGGCGAAAACGGAGGTGGAGACCGCGTTGAAGCATTTCTGGCAGAGATTGTTGGTGGCAGGGTTTCCAGTAACGCCGCAGTTGTTAACGCACGGCACAATGTTAAGGAAAGCTTCTTCAAACAATAGGAGTCTTTGTTGCTGAACCGGGTCAACAACTTAATTAGGAGAAAGGATATAAAAGACGATTTTGCTCCTTAGATTTAAAACTAAATGTTAGATTAAATTTTTTCGGCCAAATTTGGTCGGAAATTTGGCCGGAATGACCAAAATTGACAAAACTTACATACTCAAGATACTAAATTGACACTTTTAAAAGTTAGGTGTTGAAATTAACAAAGCCCATATAGTCGTGTGACCAAAATTAAAATTTTCTCTAATTTTTTTTCTCAAAAAGCTAATTGAAAAAGTTATTTTGAGTAGCTTTTTGAATTTTAGCATTTTGGAGTACAAAAAGCTAATTAACTAAACATTTATACTGATTTTTAAACCAAGTCAAACAACTAATAGTGATCAAATAAGTCAAAATTTACCTATAAACTAACTATTTTACCAAATAGGACCGTAATGTTTTCCTTTTTTCTTCTTTTTATCACATAAAAAAAAATAACTCAAAAATCTTAATGTTTATTATATATGGTTCATAAGTATATGTCTCATGCCCTTGACGTAAATCCAATTGATTAGCCGGTCTAAAATAAGTATGTTAGAATCCTATAAATGAAAAGAAAATGTCATTGTTGTGTGAACTTGGAAATCTGCAGGCCAAATTTACCTATTCAACCGGTCTCAAAGGTAAGAGTGGTACAACTTAAGAGGGTTTATCATCAATTTCTTAAAACATCAAGTGGTTTACAAAATAAAACGAAGTAGGCGGGGTGAAATTTGTAACGAGTGAAAACTAAAGGGCCGATGTTTAAATGAGACTTCCAACACAATTCTCGCGCGCCATTTCCCAATTTTCCACCGCTTCGACTCCATATGTTCTCGACTTCTCGATCTCTCCCAGGTTCATTAATCTCTCTCTCACACACAGGTTCATTCATCTCTCTCTCCCATACAGGTTCATTCATCTCTCTCTCCTTCTCTCTCACCATAAACGTATAGATTTGAGATTTCGATAGTGTGTGTGTATATATGTAAGTGTATCCTTCTCTCTCACCATAAACGTATAGATTTGAGATTTCGATAGTGTGTGTGTATATATGTAAGTGTATGGTTCGTGAGTACAGAATGAGAAATCTTTCTCAGGATAGTTCGGGAGACATGGTTGGAGTTCACAAGAGCACCGGTGGAAAGGCAATCGCGAACTCGCCACCGCCGTTTCTGTGTAAGACTTATGACATGGTGGACGATCCGTCGACCGACGCCGTGGTATCGTGGAGTAAGAGCAACCAGAGTTTCGTGGTTTGGAATGTGCCGAGGCTCACTAAAGATATTTTGCCCAAATACTTCAAGCACAACAACTTCTCCAGTTTTGTCAGACAGTTGAACACTTATGTTAGCATCATATTCCCTTTTTGTGTTTTTATCTTCAATTCAGTCTTCGTCTTCTGGTTTATGCTACATTTGGAATTTTTGCTGCAGGTAAAAATTACTTCTAATAAACCCTAATTGACGCACTTCTACGTTGATGTAGTGGATTTGCTTAATAATTACATAATTACTTTCTCAGCTTTCCCCCGTTCCTGCTTTATACCTAAATTTGTGTCTGAAGCTTTGATTATGTATGCTTGAATGGTGGCCTGAAAAGTTATATGTAACTAAGGATATAATCTGTATTTGGAAATTTTGAGTAATATATCTCTTGCTTGAGTCTGGAGGGAAACTAATTTTTTGTTTTAATAGTCTTCATCTATCTTTTGGGTAATCAGGGGTTCAGGAAAATTGACAGTGATCAGTGGGAATTTGCTAATGGGGGATTTTTGAGAGGTGATAAGCATCTGCTAAAGACTATAAGCAGGAGAAAGCCATCCCACTCTCAGGTACATCAACAACCACAGCAAGTTCAGAGAGCTACAGTTGAGCCATGCATTGAAGTTGGGATGCTTGGGCTAGTGGAAGAGGTGGATGCACTTAAAAGAGATAAAGATTTTCTTATGCAGGAGCTTGTGGAGTCTAGACAGCATCAGCAGGCAACAGATCACATGTTGCAGAGTGTTGGGCAGAGGGTTCATTTGATGGAACAACGGCGACTGGAAATGATGTCGTTTCTTGCAAAGGCCATTCAGTGCCCCTTTTTTCTAGCCCAATTTGTGCATCAACAAGGTGACAACAACAGGTGCATTTTAGGGGTAGATAAGAAACGGAGACGACTTCCAACCCAGGAAGAAGAAAATTTTGTGTGCAAACCAGTTAAAGATTGCCAGGTTCCAGCCTCTACTGAATGAAGCAGGTTCTGCTAGGCTTGAACCAAAAGTTAGTATTGGAATTGGAACTTACATTAAATCCTAATTCAGCACCTATTTCAGAAGTCCAATATTTTTCTGATCTGGTACCCCAGGAGGCTAGAGTGAGGCAGTTTTCAGAGATGGATGCACTCACTTCTCCACTGGATAAAGTTTCACTTGAATTTTCTCAAACACAAGGATTCATGGCAGAGATCAATGCCTGGTTTTTTGACTTTTTGTGATGGCTCCGGCCTGGATTTTCTGACCCTGATGAGAGCTCTGAACTGCCTAGGATTAATGATGTTTTCTGGGATCAGATTTTTTCACTACAGACACAGGTGAGGATAACTCCATATTGGAAGAAGGAACATGATCTACAAGCAGTGGGAGAAGCTGTGCATCAGAGTCCTATGTTGTATGATTGAATGTGATTGTACATTTGCTTCCCTACTATCAGAGTTAAAAGTTCAATAATCACACATTCGAAAGGCTGCAGACTTTCTGGTAAAGTAAATCAAAAAGTTATAAAGTTCATTCCGCCACTTTCTATATGGGCTTAATCCTTTCATTCTTTCATTTGACTTCAGTAGAGATGTCATACCATGGGTTCATCTTGCAAGGTAGACCTTGATAGTAACCGATGTATAAATTGTGTATTTTTAGTATTAGAAATTTAGAATTGTGAACTTTTAGAATATAAATTGTGTTTCTAAATCAAAACACATAATGTTAAATTCTGTTAATATTGTGTGACTGCAGTATTTAAAATGAACTTGTTAATACAAAACAAGATAATCAGTTATGTTAATATTTTATATTCGTAGTATACAATTTGTGAATTTTTAAAAAGATAAATTGTGAATATTTAGTATGTGAATTGTGAACATTTAAATTCGGGTCACCATGTCGAAGATACCATCCATTCATGTCTTTTTTTTTCCCTATTGAATTTATGTGGAGGTGAAAATATATATACTTAAAAGGCAAATTATTGTTGGATCATGGTCCACACAATAACAAAATATATATTTTTAATATACTAAATGCACATTATTTGTTTACTAAATGTACATCCTATGAATACAATGTACATTTTTAATATATTAAAAGTACATTATTTTTGTACTGAATATATATTATTTTATAGTATATAAAATATAATCCGCACAATAATGATTGTAATTAAAAGTAGCTAGGTTTATTTGGGGCGATGTTAGAAGCCCAATTAGTGAATATGACTAGCCCATTGCTTTAGAAGTAGTGAAAAGTAGTTGCCCAAGTCCAATTGAATTAAGAAAAAGTATGAATACAAGTATAGAACTCTTTAATGAGAAAATAAGTGATTTTATGCATATAAATAGGGACATGGTTTCCATAACACATACTCCGCATAACTCAACATTCCTAGCATAATTATCGAAAAACCGACAAAATTGATAACTGATAACCGAATCGACCGATAATTTCGGTTATCAATTATAAGACTAAAAAAAATGTTGGTTAATCCCTCTAAGAAGACGTTTCATATCAGCATTATTTCATCTTGTTTCTTGAGCAATTGAGGAGGCGAAGCGGGCTGCTTGTCTTGCCTCGAGCCCATAAGAGAAGTACTGTTCTGGACTAGGACGGTGCTGTTCTGCTTCAAACTAGGCTAGGAAATGGGCCTAACTCCATTCGCTGATGAACCCTGAACCTCGGGCGGTATGCTTGGTGACGCGTGCCGTCTACTATGCTTTAGTTGCGCTGACTGGGCTGCTTCTCACCGTGCCAGGTCAAAGAAAGAAAGAGAGTGAGAATGCTTGGCTAAGTAGTGATGTTGTCTCACTGAAATGGAATGCCACTAGTTCCACTATCAGCTTGCTTCTCCTAATAATTATTCGGTTATTTATCAGTTATAAAGGTGTAATAACCGCGGTCACCGAATAACCGACACTATATATATATATATATATATATATATATATATATATATATATATATATATATATATATATATATATATTACTTGTGGATGTTCGATTATTCGGTTAATCGAAACGGTTTCGGTCGGTTAAAAGTATATGTTCGACCGATTATGAAGATTTAAAAAATATCATCGGTTATAGGTCGGTTATTAACCGTAACCGACCGATGCTCACCCATATTCCTCCTACCATCTTTATAGTAGTAATACCATATTCTTAGCATTTCCAAGTTTTATTTTTATTTTTCCCTTTATATATAGAAAATTCAAGGTTAAATTGAAAATTGAAATTATTAAAATTTTTAAAACTGAATTATAATTTAATCTAAGTGCTTGAAATAAATAATGACAGAATGTTTTATTGGAAGGAATGAATTAAGGAATAAAGGAATTGTTATTCGGTAAAAAAATAATAAAGTTGGAATTCAAATTAACATCAAACTTACATTGTTTGGTGAGGAGAAATATAATTACTAGCAATGTGAAGAAAAGAAGTCGTATAAAGAGCTAATATTAACCTCCCATATTAAAAAGCAACTTAATGCCATGAAATTAAATTACAATTACATCTAACTAAAAAATCCATGAAATTCTTTAAAAAAAAAAAAAAAAAAAAACCATGAAATTTACTAATGTTAGGAAATGTTAAATGAACGCATCTCGCCTTTATGCAGTTTGTAACAAAAAAATCTTTTTGATTCGGTACATCCCTCACATTTATGACGTGAGTACCTCGAAAAGGAAACTGCGTGACCACTCCTCCAAGTCCGACCCTTTCCACCTGTCTACGTCATTGACCCCACGCCCACCCGTTTCGCCAGCCCGCCCGCACCCGACAAACACGCCGCGCTCTCCTCGTCCAAATCTTATTCTTGGGTGTTAAGCAGAGTAATAAGGTCAAGTTCCTCCTAAACCGACTGTTATACTCTACTCTCTCTCTCTCTCTCTCTCTCTCTCTCTCTCTCTCTCTCTCTCTCTCTGTCTCTATCGATCTGTATATATACACAAAACACTCGCCGCAGTATTACACGGAGAATACTGACATTCTTCTATTAATCAGCAGGAGTTTCGTTGTCTAAGATTCAATGTCGGTCAGTCTCTCAGCGATCTCTTTGACCGCAACTAATTTCATCCTTTGTTTTCGGTGAATTGTTTCCTGCTTTACTGAATCGATTTGTTGCGGATGTTGGTGAAGTTTTACGGGATATGATAGTGTTAAGAAATCCGTGTTTTATTTCATCGATCTGATAGTTCTCTTGGCTGAATTTACTGCTGAGATATTTCGTTGGAGCTTTGATAGGTTTTTAAACTCAGCTTTGTTGTGGTCAGGCAATCAGAATACTACGAGTAAAGTTGTTGAAATCACTCATAGAATACTGTGGCGGGTAGGTGTAGTTAATGATATAGGAAAGAGGATGCTTCCATATAAGCATGAAGGGGGGTGCCTCTGTTCAATAGTTTATCCTTCTTAGGAGGGTGGATGAATCTCTTAAAAAGTTGAGCTAATGTAGGAACAGTGTGTTTTTGGATGTTAGGGTTATTTAATAACCAATTTCTATTGTTTAATTTATAAAAAATTTTCATGGCAGGTCAGAACAGTGAAAGTAAGCAATGCTTCTTTAGGTGCTTCTGAGCAAGATATCAAGGAGTTCTTTTCGTTTTCTGGAGATATTGAGTATGTGGAAATGAAAAGGTTTGTTCTCTTGGGGCATTTTCAAGATCTCTCTGGTATTTTGTTGCCTATTTATATCAACAAAAGCCATTTATTTGGAATATATTGGTGTCCATTTTGTGATGCCAAGTGATTTTCATTATGTTCACGGCATTAATGTAATTTACCTTTACCAGTGCTGATGAACGGTCTCAAATTGCTTATGTGACTTTCAAGGATCCTCAGGGTGCAGAGACTGCTGTGCTTCTTTCAGTAAGTTATAAAATCATCGTTTTTTCGGTGCTGATAAATTTCCTAGTAATGGATGGTTTGACTATTGTTGTGTTAGTTTTGTGTTCTTACTGCTGCATTTTGTCAACTGATGCACTAACTTGGTGTATCTTAGGGAGCTACTATTGTTGATCAATCAGTCACTATAACTCTCGATCCCGAATACAAGCTTCCACCTCAGGCTTTATCAACACCAATTGTATGTGTTACATATCAAGAATCTATGATGTTCTATCAACTGCATCATTGTTCTTAAGGAAAATGTTTGATATATCTACAGGTTGCTGAAAGCCAGAATGTGGGTGGTGATGGATCTGGATCTGGATCTGCAATCCAGAAGGCGGAAGATGTTGTGAGCAGCATGTTGGCCAAGGGTTTTATCCTGGGCAAAGATGCAGTTAACAAAGCCAAGTCTTTTGATGAGAAGCACCAGTTCACTTCCACTGCCACGGCCAAAGTTGCAGCTTTGGACCAAAAGATTGGATTCACTGAGAAAATTGGGTTGGGAGCGAACATTGTGAATGAAAAGGTTAAAGAAGTGGACCAGAAGTTTCAGGTTTCCGAGAAGACAAAGTCTGCCATTGCTGCCGCGGAGCAGACTGTTAGCAATGCTGGATCTGCCATTATGAAGAACAGGTACGTTCTCACCGGGGCAACTTGGGTCACTGGTGCCTTTAATAAGGTTACCAAGGCTGCTGGGGAAGTCGGGCAGAAGACAAAAGAAAAATTGGCTGAAGAACAGCAGGTTAAAAATGCAACAGAAGGCTATACACAGTTACATGCTTCTGAATCCCCAAAGGCTTCCGCTGCTGAGGAACAAAACAAGTCCACTGTTCAGGGTTTAGTCCTTTAATTTGTGTAAATGTGTAAAACCCAGATATTTAAGTTTTAGAGGTTGCCTGCCATTTTCACTCATATGCTACTTAGAGACTTTGAACTGTAATTGTGCACTGTCAGAATTCAAACATGCTTTTTATACATCAAAACTTATTTAATATTTTTGACTGGATAAATGATTAATGGCATTTTTCTTTGAAAAGCCATAGATGGTGAAGTGCAATCACTGGTACAAGGATTTATGATATGGTCTTAACAGATGTTGGCTCCACCAGGAACAGAACTCAGAGGTGAAACCCTGAGTGAACTTGTGGAAGCTGGTGGGCTACCATTGCCATCAGTTTCAGCTTTGAGAAGTGCCTCATTTCTAGAGGTTGTTCACTTGATGTATAGCCTATGAATAGGATGGGTGGGAAGTTCAAGTGAAAAAGGGAAGCTTTTAGAGTTGCAGCATGAGGTTACTAAGTTGGTGCTAAAGTGCCAAAGAGCATTGATTGAAAGTTGGTCTTTTGCTTACAACATTCTGTATCTCAACCATGTAAAGATTTATTCGGTTTCGGCTTGAGGTTGCTTAGTTGGTGCTAAAGTTTCAAGAGGTTAGATGAAAATTTCAGTTTTTTATATACATCCAATATTTCAGTTACATTAAGACTAATTAATGAGTTAATATTTGATTTGGTTTGTCGACTATTAAAATTTCACCATTTTTGATCATCGACTTTTAAATTTGCTCAATTTCATCCAAAACTATACAATTGTTAACCAAAACGATCCTAATCAGAACTATTTTTGTTTGGACAACGGACTAAGTTAGGTAAAAATTGCATAATTGATGATGAAATTGAACAAGTTTGAAAGTCGATAGCCAAAGTGGTGAAATCCTAATAGTAGGGCGGAGAGACCAAATTGGGTATTGACTTTTTAATATATGTTTGAATCTTGCAGATGAATAAGAGTTTTAAGTGGAAAAGTGATAACAAATCCGACCTTAGCTCAGTTGGTAGAGCGGAGGACTGTAGTTGTCTAACAGCCAATCCTTAGGTCGCTGGTTCGAATCCGGCAGGTCGGATGCTTTTTTAGTTCGGGGCCCACAATTGTGTTTTGCCTGTTGGCGCCTCTATCGATTTGATCAGCTGCTTTCTGCATACGGCATAGATATTTTGGACTTGTCAAATGGACCCAGAAATTGGTGTCCCATAAAGTTGATGAGTTTGTCAATATATGTTTTCTGGCAATGCTTATAATTTGGGCCTAATCACATCATTGGTGAGAGTGTGAGACAATACCTAATGTTTTGTTCGCATATGAAAATTAAATACTTGATAATTAGAATGTATTTTGGTGAAAATAGTTTACATATTTGGTAATATGGTGTAATCAGAATGATTACTAATATTAATATTTGATTATGTATGACTCTATAATAATTATTAATATTGATGTTTTCGAGTGTGACCGTACAAAACACACCCGTAATCTTTTGAAGTATTGAAAGAATTTCATTTTTGTTTTTGTTATTTTGTATTTCCATATGATTCGTTCAATAGTATCCTCTTATGTTGAATTATGGAAAGTTGTTAGTTTTGAAAGTGGGTCAGTGACATATTTTGTATTTTTGAAGAAATAAATATATGTATTCATTATTTGATCAATATAGGAAATAAGCATTTAATGTCGTATCGCATTTTATAACCGTTTAGTTTAGATGTTAATAGAGTTGAACTTTGTCCGCACAAGTTTAGTTCACTAGTTCATTCAGGCATTTGAAAGAAGAGACGAATGTTCAAACCTCGGCAGAGGCAATGTAAAAAACATCCTCCCAAGACCCAAATGCTCACTGGCTCATAATTACTTTCTCATGAAACACAAAAAGCCAATTTGTCTAGACATATACATAATACCAAATGTGTTTTTTTTTTTTTTAATTTTTAATTATTCCCCCATACAACCTACTTTGCCTTATCCAAAATGATTACCAAACACACTCACATTGATGCTCAATTGGACTAATATCAAATCAAATTTAAGATGGAGCAAAGTCAACCTGATCACAAGCTTCAAACTTGAGAAAATACTCCGTACGAAGTTAGGAATCGTATAAGACACAAATACGTACATTATACGTAGGGAGCAGTTGGTAAAGTTATTTATATGAAATAAAAAGAAGGGAAAATGGCACTTTTTACCCCTAAGTTATATACTTATAGCACTTTTGCCCCCTCAATTATTTAGGTAAGCACATTAGCCCCCTCAATTATTCTAAAAGTGGTGCTTTTTCCCCCCTGATATATTAAATTGACATTTATACCCTTAAAATAAACATTTTATTTATTTTACTACTTCAACAAATTATTGCGTATACGTAGGGATGACCACGGTTCGATTTGAATTGAACCGGATACTAAAGCAATCGAATTAATAGTTTACGGTTATAATTCAGATCTAGAACCCAATATTTAAATGTCAATTTATTAAAATTATGTATCAAAAAAATTGAATCTTGAATCGTGAACCGGCGATTCCGGATCTGATTCGCGATTTGAACCGTCTTTATTTTAAAATTTTATTTTTTATTTTAAAATAGTCTAAATTCAACGATAAATGTATTTTATTTTTTCAGTTCGGAACATGAACCGTCCGTTCCGGTTCACGATTTTAATAAACTCTAAATATCAAATTTCGATTCTAAATTGTAATTGGAATATTTCGGTTTGATTGCTATAGTGTTTGTTTAGTTTGAACCAAATTATGGTCATAATTTGTTGGAGAAAAAAAATAAATTAAATATTTAGTTTAAGGGTAAATATGTCCATTTAACATTTCAGGGGGAAAAACAGCCACTTCAATAACTTAGGGGGAAAAAATACTATAGGTATATAACTCAGGGGAAAAAGTGTCATTTTCCCTAAAAAGAATTATAAAGAAATTAGATTGAATACAAGGACGCGGCCTGCAGACCTCCGGGAAACATCGGAAGAAAAATACGAATAGTCAGTCAAGTCGTATCTGTTGTCATCGCCATACAAACCGTACTACAGAAACGCTTCTATTCAACGATTTCTCGCCTTGCTTTCTACGGTAAGCGACTCCTACTTTTCTTGTTTAATCGCTGATTTTTGTTTACTTTTTAGTTTTTGTTTTGAGGAATTTTCCAGTTGATCTTCTTCTGCTGCTATGTTTTCCGATTGTTTGACTTGTCGGTGCCTTCTAGTTGTTCAATTCCTTAAATTATTTGCGTAGTCAATTCGTAGTAGGTATTAATTCGCGAGTCCAAGGTGATTGCGAGGCTGAAGTTTCATATAATTAGTTGTTTTATGATTTGGTTATGTATCTGTGCTGTGGAGCTTTGAAATAGTAGCCGGATTTAAAAAAAATAATAATAATTTTGAGAGTGTTGTCAGTTACGAGTTGGATTTTCAGGTGTGTTTTTTTGATCTGCTGGGAAAGGGTTTGTGAAAGATGAGCGACAATTTGATGGATAAAGTCAGCTCTTTGGGAGAGCGCTTGAAGATCGGAGGGTCAGAGGTGGGGCAAAAAATTACTGCTGGAATGAGCTCCATGAGCTTTAAGATGAAGGAGTTTTTCCAAGGCCCTAACCAGGCGGATAAGCTTGTTGAGGAGGCGACGGCAGAGACTTTGGATGAGCCCAATTGGGCAACGAATCTTGAACTCTGTGACATGATAAATCATGATAGGGTCAATAGTGTTGAACTCATACGGGGCATAAAGAAGCGGATCCAGTTGAAGAGCCCCAGGATTCAATACTTGGCCTTGGCGTTGCTTGAAACCATTGCAAAGAATTGTGAGAAGGCATTCTCGGAAATTGCAGCTGAGAGGGTGCTTGATGAGATGGTGAAGTTGATTGATGATCCTCAAACTGTTGTGAACAATCGGAACAAGGCTCTCATGATGATTGAATCTTGGGGTGAATCATCAAATGAGCTTCGCTATTTGCCTGTTTATGAAGAGACTTACAAGGTACCTTCATTTTTCTATTCATATTTTGTTGTATTGATTGTGTTATTTGGACCATAGCAAAATACTCAATATAGATGATCATATGATACTTTTGGTAAATAAAGTGATACTACAATATTTTGTTTGTTAAATGTTTAGCCCCAAATTTTCTTTTCAACCATTTGATATGAAAGGCTTAAGCTACCTATTTCAGTATTCCCTGGAGAATTTGATCTAATCTTCCAGGTGTTATCCTTAAATTTGATCTAATCTTCCAGGTGTTATCCTTAAATTTGATTGAAGAAATGAGATTTGTTTACTTAACCTATCCTTGATGTCTGATGGATAAGATGGTTTGATTAAATTTGTGATCTGAAAAAAGTTTCTAGTTTTTGTGTATCCATGTGGATTAGACATCTTTATATTTATTACTCTGCTGATATATGTTTCTTCATTGTGATCTTGTGTTTTCATTATAGAGTTTGAGATCAAGAGGTGTACGCTTCCCTGGTCGTGATAATGAGAGCCTAGCCCCCATCTTCACTCCTCCAAGATCTGTAGCAGCTTCAGAATTAAATGCCACTCTTGCACAACAAATGCATAATGATGTCCCACCTCCTCCGACCTTGTCAGCTGAACAAACCAAGGAGGCATTTGATGTGGCAAGAAATAGTGTAGAGCTTCTTACCACTGTTTTATCCTCTTCACCTCAACAAGATGCTTTAGAGGTACTTCTGTTCTCTTCCTACTGTCAATGTGAATGTTCTGTTGAAATGGTTGCCGTCAATTATGATCATGTGTTAGCTTTCTAAAAGCCTAATTAAAATAACACATGCCATTTTGAAATTTGGATCTAGTGATTCCATGTCCATTTTTCTTTGGTACATCTAATGTGAAGGTGGACTGAAGATTAGACCTCATACATAGAGTCTCGGGTTGATATCACCAGACTATAATGCCCTTGGTGTGCCCTCTGTTATACTAAAACTGAACTAATATGTCAACTCAAATGTAATCTTTCTCCAAACAAAAGTATTATAATATTTTACTACTTGGAAATGTCTTTGACTGGGAAAAGTTGATGGAGGACTTGCAGTAGTAATGGTACCTTCACTTGCTGTTCATGTACACACATGGATGCCGTGGAATAATGTAATTGATGAACAGGCTGCTGAAGATGAACTTTAGATATGCATGCTTGTTAATTTTGATTTTCTATAAGTACTACTAACACTTCACCTTTTGTGTTTTTGGACTATTTAAGGATGACTTGACAACTACGCTTGTACAACAGTGCCGCCAGTCCCAAAATACTGTTCAGAGAATCATTGAGACTGCTGGAGATAATGAGGCCCTCCTTTTTGAAGCTTTGAATGTGAATGATGAGATTCTGAAAGCCCTCTCAAAGTATGAAGAGATCATAAAACCTGCAGTAGTTCCATCAGCACCGGAACCTGCTATGATACCCGTTGCTGTTGAGCCTGATGAGTCCTCCTACGTGGGAAAGGAAGATTCTTTGATCCGAAAGCCTGCAGGCTCCCGTCCTGGCGCTCACAATGGACCCAATGATGAAATGATGGACGATCTTGATGAGATGATCTTTGGTAAAAAAGCGGGTGGTTCATCTGAATCAGGGCACGATCAAAAGAAGCAGCAACCACCAAAAGATGATCTCATTTCCTTTTAAGTTTCCTCAGCAGCGCTGGATTATATTTGAAAACCTGTCTTTGCTGGTGTTAATACGATTGGCTTTTAGATGGTATTGGCAGATCGTTCAATCATTATGTCTTTCTAAAGGAACCCGACAATTTGTCTTTCTCTTTTCACTAACATTTGAACTACTGCTATTTCGACTTTTTATGTTTGATGAACTTGGATTCAATTGCTTGAATGATACAGGATGATATGTATTTGGTATATACAAGGCTTACTGTGTGCCTGAGCCTTTACATTTCTTGCTGGCAGATGCTTATAATGCGTAAAATCCGAAATGTGCTATGCTAGGCGATAATAGTCTTCTAAAATATACCATATAAGAACACAATGTTATAGATGAATGAGATATGTAAAAGGAGTAGGTTACATTAAGCAAATAGTGTACAAAAGCTTGTAATATTGATCTCTTGATTACAAGGAATAAATTAAATGCATTCTGACAGTAAAGTTTACGAATTAGGCGGCCTACCTATTGGTTAGGCAATCTGTTTCTATGTCTGATTGTTTGGAGTAGCTTTCATACTTTCCCATCATTTGCTATATTTTATCCTTTGATTTGAATTAATGTTACCGTTATTTGTGCGTGTGTGTGTGTATATATATATACACTAGCGGGACGATGAGAAAAATATTATTGTAAAGATTTTTCGAACGCATCCATGGTGAATATGTGATGAGTTTGTTAGAAGGTCAGCGAATATGGTAGCTCATTGCCTTATCCGAACTGTATTTTCTGTGTCTGGCGTTCAATAGTGAAAGTTGTCTCCACCTATCTTTATTCCGAATGTAATTGATAATTCGATACAGATTTAGTTCATTAATGAATTACTTTTATTTGCCCGCATGGGTAGCTCAACTAGTCATAGAGGTGAAACTTTGAAAAAATGACCAGGGATTGAGTCTCACCAGCGGCAGTGTGGGAGCAACCTCGGGTTTCTTGTGCGCAGTGAGCACCGGTCTAGCCTCTATGGTTCATATTCAGTTGAGTCACCATGATTTACACCGGTCTAGCCTCTATGGTTCATATTCAGTTGAGTCACCATGATTTACATCCTCCCAAACGCTCTGTCAGGCCGAGGTGTGGGGGCACCGGTCTAGCCTCTATGGTTCGTGTTCAGTTGAGTCACCATGATTTACATCCTCCCAAATGCTCTGTCGGGCCGGGGTGTGGGGGGCCCTTAGGGTTGAGGTTCAGTCTTTGGAAGAATGAATTACTTTTATTTTCTAAAAAAATGCATTTATTTTAAATATTTTTTTAATTAAAAAATGAGAGTATTAATTCTTTCTTTCTTTCTTTCTTTCTTCTTTTTTTTTTTTGAAAACAGAGTATTAATTCAAAATTAAAAAAAAAAAAAAAAAAAAAAAAAAAAAAGGTAGAATTGACATTTCCAGTTCAGTAAGCCCAAACCGCTGTTACACACTTACACCAAAGAATCCCAAACCCTACCTTAAACCCTGAACCTTCTTTTCGCAGATCTCATTTCACATTTCTATGGCGGTTGCTTGTTCTTCAAGAACCCACTAAATCCTAATAACCTCTTACATCTTGGAAAACGATAAGATCGAAAATGGCAAAAGGCAGTGCAGCTGGACTTATCGCTGCGCTAGCAGCTGCAGCTCTCGGAGGACAACCTGCCTACGCCGATGGGCCTTTCAATTTCTCTCCGTTTTCCTCCTCCTCTTCTTCTTCGGCCCAAACTGCTCCTCAGGTTCCGGCGACTGACTCGCCTCAGCCGCCTCAGCCGCCGCCGGCGGAACCTCCAAAAGCTCGCAATGATAATCCCAGAACCACGTCGGCTGGGTTCGACCCGGAAGCTTTGGAGAGAGGTGCCAAGGCTTTAAGAGAGATTAACAGCTCCTCCAATGCAAAACAGGTACCCAATTCGGTTTAATTTTTTGTTGCTTTTGTAGTAGCTTATATCCCTGCCATACGAGGAAACTTATACTGGTGTGCTGGAAAAGATTGGAAAGTTAAAATGTTTGTGCTGTCGTCTGCTTGAAATTAATCATAGTAACGAATTTTGTGTGTGTTCTTTGGAGTAATTTTCTGATCATGTGAAGAAAAATACATTTGTAAGCTTCAATTTACAGAAACGTCTTATCTATTTATGCAGCTTAAGAAAAATAGGATGGATAATTTGATCATAAGGGCTTTTTGTGTGTGCTTTCACATTCGCATTATGCTGCAAAAATTTTGTGATTATGTGCAAAGCATTACATATACAAACTTGCTGAAATGACTCGTCTTTTTAACTTGTTTAGAAAAGTAGGATACACAATGGGCTATGAGTGATTTTGAAGGGGCATTGATTTATTGTAGGTTTTTGAGGTGATAAGAAAGCAAGAGGATACAAGGCAAGCAGAGTTATCTGCTAAATTGGCTGAGTTTAAGGCACTGCAAGCTCAATCTGAAACTGTAAGATTGCTTTCTCTCATGCTTCATAGTCTGGCAAGCTCAACTTAAAAGCTTGATTGCTTTAATGGATTAGTTTTATTATGCCATTGGATATGTCAAAACCAAGAGTTTCTTGTTTGATAGGAGAGGCAAAGGGTGATATACGATGAACAGAAAAAGCTAGCTCAGCAACAGGCACAAATCAAATCACAAATGGCTCGCTATGAAGATGAATTAGCAAGGAAAAGGATGCAGGCATGTGAAGATTTTCTATATAATCCATTCAAAGTGAAATTTGCATAATGGTTAGGAGTATAACTTCTCTGGCAATTCTGCAGGCAGAAAATGAACATCAAAGAGGAAGGAATCAGGAATTGGTAAAGATGCAAGAGGAGTCAGCTATGAGACAAGAGGCAGCCAGACGAGCAACAGAAGAGCAAATTCAAGCACAACGCCGGCAAACAGAGAGGGAAAAGGCGGAGATAGAACGTGAAACCATCAGAGTGCGAGCTATAGCTGAAGCAGAAGGACGAGCACATGAAGCTAAGCTTGCTGAAGATGTTAACAGAAGAATGCTACTAGAGCGTGCAAATGCTGAAAGAGAAAAATGGATTTCCGCCATAAATACAACTTTTGAACACATTGGAGGTATCTCTTAGGGAACTTTTTTAGCCATGCTACTGTGCATCTGAACTTGGTTTTTCTTCTGTCCCCTCCCCACTGCACAATCTATTTCTCTTGCCAACAGAAGATTATATGAAAGAAAATGTAGATATATTCTGGAATTTTGAGGAGAGCTATCCACCTTTTGCAGGGGGGTTGCGTGCAATATTAACTGATCAAGATAAGTTGGTTGTGGCTGTTGGTGGTGTGACAGCCCTTGCTGCTGGGGTATACACAACAAGGTATTTAAAATGTTGTGAGTAATAAATAATACAAGGAGTTTATATATTTGGAAGTTATTGTTGCTATATTAACTACTCATGGTTAATGAGCTCATTCCTATTCATGTTTACATTTGCTTTTCTATTTCAGAGAAGGTGCAAGAGTAATTTGGAGTTATGTGGACAGAATACTAGGACAGCCGTCATTGATCAGGGAATCATCCAGGGGCAAATACCCTTGGTCAGGTTTCTTTAAACGTGCCATGAGTAGTTTCTCACGAGGTGGTTCTGCATCTCAGGCTGAAAAAGGGCTTGATGATGTCGTTCTAAACCCTTCCCTTAAGAAAAGAGTTTCTCAGCTTGTTAGGACTATGACTTATACGAAGGCACATCAGGCACCATTTCGTAATGTCCTTTTCCATGGCCCTCCAGGAACAGGCAAAACATTGGTTGCTAGAGAGATTGCTCGCAACTCTGTAAGTGATTTTGTAACCTTTATACCATCCAGACCTGAGATTTTCCTATTTAATTTGCATTCAATACTCAATGTGATTGGAATGTTATTTTGTCCTTGGTTATCTCTGATCATTTTTTGATATGTTTCCAGGGTCTTGACTATGCATTGATGACAGGAGGTGATGTGGCACCCCTGGGACCACAGGCTGTCACCAAGATACATCAACTCTTTGACTGGGCCAAGAAGTCCAATAAAGGCTTGTTACTGTTTATTGACGAAGCAGATGCATTCTTATGCGAGTAAGTGAGGTTTACCTGTTAAAATTTTCTCTTGTTTGCTTCTTATGTTTGCCACAAATAAGGGAGTCTAGATTTTTCATTACCCCTTAGAGATTTTTGATTGGTGAATATGATTGTGGTGTTTTTATATGGGTACATACTACATAGTGTGATCTACAGTTAATATACAATTAATTTGAACTCTTTCTCCAAGTGTAAGGATAGCATGCTGAGGTTGATGAATATCATTATAGCAACTAGTTATTTCTGGACTGAAAATTGTGAATTTTTGTCAAAAACCTTAAAACTTACTTTATGGTATTCCCGTGAAACCATTTATTTGTATTGTCTATTATGCAAGCAACCTGACTGTTGGACTTTGTAATTTGACAAACTTCAGGCGGAATAAAACCTACATGAGTGAAGCTCAAAGGAGTGCTTTAAATGCCCTTCTTTTCCGAACGGGCGATCAATCTAAAGACATAGTCCTTGCTCTAGCAACAAATCGCCCTGCTGATCTTGATTCAGCTGTTACAGATCGTATAGATGAAGTTCTAGAATTTCCCTTGCCTGGTGAAGATGAACGCTTTGAGTTGCTGAAACTTTATTTGGATAAATATATAGCTCAAGCTGGAGCAACAAAGGCTGGTATTTTAACTCGGTTCCGTAAACAAACACAGAAGATAGAGATCAAAGGTTTGACTGATGATATTCTTAAGGAAGCTGCAGCGAAGACAGAAGGATTTTCGGGAAGAGAAATAGCGAAGCTGATGGCAAGCGTTCAAGCTGCCGTTTATGGTAGTGAGAATTGCGTTTTAGATCCTGCTCTGTTCCGGGAAGTTGTAGATTACAAAGTTGCAGAGCATCAACAAAGAAGAAAATTAGCTGCTGAGGGCAAGAGTGCTTGATTCCACAGCATTGTGGTTCTGATTGATACTTTTTGCTCCGAGGAATTAGCACAATATTATGCTATTGAAACAAATCATTTTTATTGTTCCTCAAGGTTAAAGTAGCCTATTCTTTTACCTTCATGGAATTTTGATACTGACCACTTACCAGTGTTCTTGTTGAGCATGACCTTTTGGAAGTGATGCTGTTAGGATTCTTTTCCATATTGTAATGTTTTCATTCATATCATACTAAAATAAATGGAATTCACAATCCTTTCTTTGTTTGCTTCCAAATTTTGACACTAGACCCTTGAGATGACAAGGAAATATTCATTTAAACAATCAAAATCATTATGTTCACAAAAGAACAAAAGACCACAAGGAAATATTCATTTACACAATCAAAATCATTATGTGCACAAAAGAACAAAAGACCACAAGGAAATATTCATTTAAACAATCAAAATCATTATGTTCACAAAAGAACAAAAGACCAAGGATGTTGTTCTTATTATAGAGACTGCAACCTTGCAACATTAAAACGAGTTACAATACAATTAAAAGAGGGCCTGGTCTATTTAGAAAACTTGCAAAAGAACATAATTGATCATGGTTTATCAAAAAAAAAAACATAATTGATCATGCAGCCCCTTAGTGGTGATGTCCGTGATCTTGGAAGTAGCGCAAGCCACAGTACTTGCAAACAGCGGGTGCATCCAAATCAAGGCATATAAACTCAATCGGGTGCCCAAGAGCAGGGTCGCTATCTGCATCAGGAGAGAATGTTTCATACATCAAATCTTAACGGGATACAAGCGACACAAGAGGGATTATACTATGATACTATCTGCATGTTTACCTCCTTCACAGGCAACAATCCGGCCCTCCACCTTAATAGGTGGAACTTCATTGATCAACTCCATAGGAGATTTTCTGCCAGTATCCTACCAATAGAGCACAGAAAACCATGAAGACAATTTAATCTTGGCGTTTGACATGCAAATGACAACCAACAAATATGATATGCTCTGTAACAAGGATAAAAGGTAAAGAAACGAAGGAACAACATAATAAAGGAACCATTATTTACAGTGCAGAATGTAAGACAGTCAGATGCTTCACATGTTCACCGGTGGGACGCAATTTAAAGTACTAGTTTTTTTCATAAAGTCCAAGTCAAAAAGATTTAGTTTCTCATACATATATTTTCCCTACACAAGGGATTCACATTCTCAGTAAAGGAGCTAAAGTATTCCAATGGTTCAATCAAGAAAAATTGTGCAGTGAACATTGAGGTAAGAACTGAGAGCTTTGCACAGAAAGAAGGAAAGAAACAAAATAGAATGGGACAATCATACAAGTATATGAGGCCAACTAGCATATAGAACCTAAGCAATATAGAGGCGGACTATTTTAGATTTCTCATCCATTTTTTGCATTCAATTTATTTATTCTTAGAAGAAAACCTTAATAGCACAAAGTGGATTCAAGAATTAAGAAAGGACAAAGAGTCTTAAATTATACACAAGACAGAGTAAGACCAAAAGAAGCAACCCATTTTTTTCTGCTGAGCATTACTGCAATTTCATTGTTTAACTTAAATACATAATCATAAAAAAAACAATGATCAGGACAGAATTCTCACAGCAGTAGACCATGACAAGTAAAGCCATAAATAGCAGGTTGTTAGATCAATGAAGTTGAGATGTATCTAGTCTTAAGAGAAGAGATAAAAAGGAAGAATAGGAGCTTTAAATTTTGATTAGTACCCAATAGAACCATAAAGCTAAAGCTTGCTGAGATGATAAATTTGAACATGATCGATTCTTCATACCTTTGATTTGAATAGAATACATGTATGCAATTGTGAAACATAATCACATTCAATGCATTTTATCAAATAATTGATTTCAAACACTATCAACATGCAATTTCATAATGTTATATTGTTATGTGTTCAAAATAGCATTGTATTCCTGTTTTTTTCTTATAGAAAAATATTGAAAACTGTGTTAAAGGCTGCAGATTTCAGATGGAAAACAAATGAAAACAGCAATCAAAATGTGCTTTGTGAATTTCTATTAGCTTGACTCCTTAACTCTCCACCAAGAATCCAAGATCATTATCCGTCTTGATATCTTCATATAATATAACCCAAATATTCTATCCACATATCAATAACATATGAAATGATAGTTTCGATTAAACCCACCCAAAAATCCCTATTAAACAAGACTGATTCACGATTATTCATCGAGAATGCATTCAATATGCAACGCGACATACGGTTTCAGTGATTGATTGGAGGAATCAAACGGTTTACCTGCATCCATTTAGCAGTGTGAGATGTGATGACCTCGCTGCTACCGATGCCGGCGGCGGCGCTGACACCCCTCGAGCCGGATGGGAAATTGGGCACCGAAGGTCTCGCAGTTAGGGTTTTCAATAGATTGGTAAACATTGCCACGCCCTGCTTCCTCCCGAATGAAGCCATCATTTGTTCAGGCCTGAGGAAAATTACACGAAGGAATTTAACAACGCCGGATTCTTAATCAGATCTTTATTCCTGCACTCTCGCGTCGCGTATTGAGTTTGAGCAACGATAATTTAATTTCCTTTGAATCCCTTATTTTTTGTAAAATTACATTTCTCTTATTTGTATTTTCTGTTTACTTTTCTTCTCCCGATCGAGCATTTAGGAGGATGTAAATCACGGAAACTCAATAACTCAGCGAACATGTTAAATATTAGTACGCACAAGGAATCTGTACATTTTAAACATAATTCACTCACTACCGCTGTCAAAACGGTTGAGTGTCTCGTCCCACGAAAAAATGAAACACATTTTTATTTTTCAGACTTGTCAGTCCCTCGCTCAATATTTGGTTAAACTAGAGACTTTTAATCAAATTGATCCGACTATGAGAACTACCTATTAATTTTCATGGTTTAAACTAACTAATTATGAATAACTTGAGCTTCTTGTTTTTTTTTTTTTTGTTTTTTTTTTTGGGAAAAATGTGTTCTAACTCGATCTTTTGCATGTTAAGGTTAAAGACGGATTGTCTAAAGTTCAACTTCAAATAAAGTTTGCATACTTTTCTACAGGTGATTTGATTAGGTGGATTAATTATAGAAAAATAAAAATTGTTCGTCTAGCATCTATTGAGGATGTAAATCATGATAACTTAGTTGAACGTAGACTAGATTTTTGTTTATTGCGCACAAAGAGTCCAGCCCTTCACTTTGAGATGTTGCTCCCACACTGTCGCTAGTGAGATTCGATCTTAGGTAGGGATGGCAATGTGCCCCGCACCCGACGGGGATCCCCGTACTCCGCCCCGATAGAGATGGGGATGATAAAATTTTTCGAGGAACGGGGACGGGGACGAGGATGGAGATAGCCCTCCCCGCCCCGCCCCGTCCCCGAATATATATATATATATATATATATATATATATATATATAAGTTCAGGTGCGGCGGTGTCTTACGGTGCAGCATCACCAATAGTTCAACAAATATACACCATCAATGTTAGGAAAATACACTACAAAAAACAGAGGAAAATTAGGTACGCATCACCAAACACGCATCATTAGGTGTGAGTAAAAACACCATACAATATTTGAAAATACACCATTGTAGGTGGTGAGTTATATGGTATATTTTTTGGGATCTGTTGTGTATTTTTGATGTTTTATTGCATTTCATTATGGTGTATTTTTCTTACACTGTTAGTGTATATTGTTAACACTGTTGGTGTATTCTGAAATTCCGCCGCACGAGAAGACCCCGCCGCATTTGAACTTTCTTTTATATATATATATATATGTATATATATGTATATATATATATATATATATATACATATATATATATATATATATATGTATATATATATATATATATATATATATATATATATATATATATATATATATATATATATATATATATATATATATATAGTATTTTAAATTTTTTTATTATTAAAATTTACAATTATCTAACATTTTGACTAGAAGTTGACGGGGAATGGAGAATTTCCGTCCTCCCGCTTAATTCTTTGGAGGGACGGGAATGAGGAGTATTTTGAATTCCCCGCCGGGGCCGGGGCTGAGGCCGGGGTACTCCCCGTCCCGTTGCCATCCATAATCTTGGGTCATTATTTTCAAACTTCACCCATGTGACCAAGTATTAAAATTATATAGAGTAATTAAATTCTTAATTTATGATTTTAAAGATTTTTCTATTAATATTATTTTGATTTTGATTTGATTAAACTACTAATGCAAAAATAAACATTTCAATTTGGTACGTAAAATTTGTGACTTCTGTTAATTTTAAACCCCAAAGAATTCATCGATTCTGTTTTGGTCCCTTCAGAGTTCAGAGCTTCCTCTTTCGTCGTCGTCGGAACATTGGAGCGAACTTCCCGCGAGTAAAGAGTAGAAAACCAATCAATGAGTAGCACAGGCGGTAATGCTTCGTCAAGTACAGCTCCCAAAATCCTATTAGCGAAGCCTGGACTTGTCACCGCCGGCAAGTTCAATCGCGGCGGCGCTGATGACGATTCCGCCGCGCTCCGTCCTCGTATTCCGTCAATAGGTTCACTCAACCTTCTCTCCGACTCCTGGGACTTCCACACCGATCGTTTCCTCCCAGTAATTACACTCTCTCACTTTTTTCTGTACTCGCTAGGAAAATCTCTGTATTACTTTTGATGAAGATGCATATGTTCGTATGTTTTTGCAGTTTCTGACTGATAATACGGATTTTACTGTGGTTGGGGTGATTGGTCCGCCAGGGGTGGGCAAGTCAACTATAATGAACGAAATTTATGGCTTTGATTCTAGCTCTCCTGGTATGCAATTTTTGTTTAGTCAATCCAGTAACAGTATTTGCAACAGCTCATTCAATTGATAGATTGGATTGTAATTGTTTAGGAATGCTTCCTCCATTCGCAATACAATCAGAAGAAATAAGGGCAATGGCGAAGCATTGTACTGTTGGAATCGAACCTCGGGTTTCATCTGAACGGATTATACTTCTTGATTCACAGGTGTTTAATTCATTAGTTAGTAACAATCAGTTTTTGGTGTTTTACTCTTTCCTTTATTCACTTGAAGGAAGTCAGAGAAAATTATCTAAGATCACAGAACTTTTTCAAAGAGAACTCTTATACTGGAAAGAAATGACGAAATCTTATTTACTACGCATGTTTTCTTAGTTCACTTGTTGATGCTAGTTAGCTATCAACACTTCCTCCTCAATTCTGGAGT